AAAGCAATATATATTTAACTTTAAAACAATAATTTAAAAAAATGAACCGCCAAGTAGCTCGATGAACTCTTCGTAAAGTTAGCAGTTAGGAAGTGCTACCTTTACCTTGGTCTAAGTGAGAGTTTATATATTTAGCTAGAAACGACATTTTGTTTTTCGGAAAAAAAATAATTTCAAGATATAAAAATAGGATAAAGCTTTAACTTTTATTTATTAAAACCCATAGAAAAATTTATTTAAAAAAAAAAATCTGATTTCTTTTTGGCTTGCCTTTCCAAATGCTCTGACCCCGCAGCGGCTGTTTATGCTGGATATGGATATAGACAGGCCTGCTAACTTCGATTGATGGTTTTGATTCGTGCAGTCACTCCTTACTAATTCAAATAAAACTCTTTTAAAAAATAAATTTGAAATTGGGCTCTGATACAAATCACCAAAAAATATGCAAATTACATAACAAATAAACGCAGTTATAAAATCTACAAAATCTCGGTAAAAATTTAAACTCATGTTTTAATTTAATAAAAATATGCAAATATGAAAATGCAAAAGTCGATTGAAAATCAAATGCGTCATTTCAGCTTACTAAGTTAAAAACTAAGTTCTGTTATAAACCATTGAATCAGAAGTAAACCGCCAAAATTTGGCATTTTACGTTTATTATGTAAACGTAAAATGCCAAATTTTACGTTTGAAAAGTTGAAAATTAAGTTTATCAACTGTTAAACCATAAGTTCTCATTTTAAAAATAGTTGTCATAAAGTATATAGCTCCGGCAATTGAAGAAAACCAAGCACAATGTAAACTGTTGGTTCCCTGTGATTCCTTTGATTATCTAGACTGAATAGTTGTTTATATTATTAAAGTTGCAGAGAAACGTCATGCTTACTTTTTAGAATTATTTTACCAGAGTAAATAAGACATATAAAACGGGTTGGCGAGAATATTAGAGCTCTCCATAGGAGAGATCTAACATAAACTGAGCTAAGGTAGGTCTAAATAAAGTACGTTGAACAGTTCAGCATCCTTCTTATTCTACAAAGATCTTATTATACTTTATCCTTCTTATTCTACAAAGGATGAAGTTAAAATTAATATTAATGAAGAAGGAGCAATCAAAAGTTATTTAATTTTCTAAAAGAAGAGATATAAATAAATGAAAGTTGTTTTGACTCTATAATCTTTTCATAAATGACTAAATAAATTGAAATATTTTTATATATTGAAGGAAATTGATTAATAATAACTTAATTTATTTTTAAGTTTGATGCAAAATAGTGAATAAAAGTTCGTAGCAATTAGGGAGGCATCAGGAAGGAACATTTACTTTGTTACACTCCCCTTCCCCCTCCCCCTTTCTTAAATTAAAGAGAAAGGGAAAAAAATAATGAGGCTGTTTTATACCAAGACAAACTTGTACATTAAAAAAAATAAAAACCTTGATATATTTTTTATTATTGTCGTTTTACATAACTTTGATAAAAACAGTTTGAGCCTAAAATAAAACATATTTTATTGCCAGTATTTTCGGAGTGTAATAAAACAATAACTTGGTAAAGTAATAGAGTCATTAAAAAAAAAAGTTAAGCAATAAGCTTTTTATGTTTTTTGAGATAACTTTTAGACATGGAAGGAACTCTAAACATTTATATGTTGATTTTTATTTAAGAAAAGGATGTTTTGCAAACTATACAATTATAGGAGCCTGGGAACAAGATAAGTCTAAAATACTTTGCCCCATTGCCCTTTGTAAGAGAACCCAGCTTTTAAAATATTTTTTCTCATTGTAAACTAAGTTTATATTTATCGATAAATTTTCACGCAATAATCTCATAGTATTCACAAATTATGGCTTTATAAATTTTGAAACCTCTTCAATTTGAGCAGTCTGAAACTTTATAGTTTTTGAATACTAAGAGATTATTGCGTGAAATATAAAATTTGTCGATGAATACAAATTTAGTTTATAAAAAAAAAAAAAATTTAAATACTGGTTGCTTACATACATTAAGGGGAGGGGGCAAAGTATTTAAGGCTTACTTTTTCCCCAGGCTCCTATCATTGCATATTTTTGCACGGCATTCTTATTTGACATAAACACGACCATATAAATGTTTGAAGTTTGCTCCTTTGTTTCAGCTTTGTTTTCTGAAAGCTCAATTAACAAAGGAAGCTTCCTACAAGCCTATTAAAAAAATGAGAAACTTCTTATTTAACATTACTTTCTCAATCTTAATGGCTTTATTGCATTGTTGTGAGACGTGAGATTATACAATATAGTAATTAAGTTGGTTTGAGCAAACAAAACGAAAAATTTTAGAAACTTTAAAATAAATAAAAAGTTAAATCAAGACTTTCTTGGTTTAAAAAAAAGTCATGTTCTTACCTAATGGGTATTTAATTATGTTATTTTGCCTCTTTTGGTTGTTAAAAGAATTAAAAGATCTATAGTCTATGTATCAAATACAATACATACGTTGACAAACTTTATCAATTCAGACTAAAAAGCAGTTAATTATCCAAAGGAGAACTTCTCAAACGTTAAAAGCAACAAGGAAACCTCTCAAACATTACGCAACTATGTTATTAAATTTAAAACGTAATATAAAACGTTTTTTTTTTTATGTCTTTAAGCCCATCTTTTCATATATATATATATATATATATATATATATATATATATATATATATATATATATATATATATATATATATATATATATATATATATATATATATATATATATCATCATATCCTTAGAGTTACGCTATCTTCGCTCTTTATAACCTCAAATACACGCACCTCCAAAGATATCCTTTTGTTTTTACAAAAGGTGCAATCATAACTTTGCTTTTCGAATAACTAAGAGAGCGCCTATTAAACAATTTAGAGGTTGTAGATTCAAACTAGAAGAACTTTTTTGGGAAACTGCACGGATGGAGAAAAGACTACAAATAAAAAGATTTTGCAGGATGCGGTCGTTACAGTATTCAACGGGTCTGTTGTGGTTACCAAAATACGACTGTTTTTCCTTAAATAACAGCCCAGTTAATAATAGGAAGGGCATCGAAGTACTTTTAACAATTTAAAACTTGGAGCTGATCCTAAACCAATTGAGCAGCTTATCAATCAGATAGCTGATTAAGAAACCAATGAAACAAGTTCATCATAATGATGCACATGTTTTTCGTAGAATGGCGATAGCAACAGCTTGCAACTAAACAGCAGGTCACATTCTGAAAAATTTGCATCACAGCGAATCTTTATCTTTAAATCATTATCTTTGTAAACTTACGTCACAATTTTATAAACTTATGCCACAATTTTATAAATTGACATTTAAGGTGTAACGGTCAGATTAGATATTGAACTATTCTTTTGTTATACGTTTTTCTAAACATGACTTGTGTATAATTAGTCTCTTCAATAATTACCATATATATATATATATATATATATATATATATATATATATATATATATATATATATATATATATATATATATATATATATATATATATATATATATATATATATATATATATATATATATATATATGTATATATATATATATATATATATATATATATATATATATATATATATATATATATATATATATATATATATATATATATATATATATATATATATATAACAGTGCTTAAATAGGTTACTTTTAAAGCTTTTGCCTGTAAACAAAGTCAAAATAAAAATTTATCCAAAAAATTCTAAGTAATACACAAAGTTTAGTTTATTTATTATTTAATTATTATAATAATGCAGAATAAAAATATTAAAATGCCATCGTTTGAAAAATCGGTAAAAAAAGGTTGATGCCGATTCCGATTGTGTAATCGTAATGTCGATTAGTAATGTAATGTCACTACAAACAATTCAAGAAGAGCCTGATACAAAAATTTTTTTGGTTTTTTTCTCTAATCACGTTGCATATTCTTCGTCATTGTTTGTATTCACGCTGTTGACATAAGTATTGCTATTTACCTATTTACATTTATAATAACTTCGTAATAAATGTAACGATTCTAATATTGAAACGCGATAAAATACTTTTTGCATAAAAAAAGAGTCTCACTGTCCTACCAACAAAACTTTAATAATTCATTCTAGCAAGGTTAAGTTAACTTAGTAAGGTTATTCAGTTATCACAAAACAACTGTACATGTTCATTAAGTAAGATTAAGCTCAAATAAGACGACAAGTTATTCTAACCAAACATAAGTAATGTCTTTTTTAATTTCTATTACGTTATATCAACAATACAAATCTGTATAGATTTATTTTCTAACCTATATTATCAAATAATTTAAAAATTAGAATTAGTTAAATACTTCTAATTATAACAGAAATTACAATAAGCAAGTATTAACAATAGTTAAGTTGATACTGTATTTAAGTTACACGTAAATTCTCAAAAATTTATGTTAATGCTTCAGAAAAATGTTCGTATTTATTTTAATATAATCTTCAAAGCAATAAAATGGCAAAAAAAGCTGTCTCAGGTGTTTAATTTAGCTTGCTAAATTTATTCAAAATTATTTAAAGTGACAAACACAAACTGCTGCAAACACTCGTCATCATTATTTAGTAACCTTTGTCTTATGATTCTTGCACGAGTAAGACACAAGTTTTTTTGGTAAGTTTTTTTAAAGATAGACCAATAATTGTTGATTTAAAAAATTCTATTATTTTAATTTTTTTCTTAAATTAGCTTGATATAATTTTTTAGTGCACCAATGAGGGGAAATAGTTATAATTTAATTGCAAACACTTTTATTAGTTTTAAAATGCCCTGATTAAAAAAAAAAAAAATTAATTTGGTTGTCATTTTATGGACATTATTTTTATTTAATATTGAAAATGAAAACCTTAACAAAATTTAAGTTATAAAGATGTAAATCTTCTGTAATATTAATTATCTCCAGATCCTAATAGGTTTCCAACTCAAATTTGTTCAAGCTGAAACAAATGATACCTGTGTTATTTTGATTTTCATCTTGTAATGCGCTTGAAGCAGCCGAGGTTGAATACATATCTATTCAAAAAAAACCAATATAAGTTCAATCTACAACAAACAAACAAACATACAAATATATGAAAATATAGCAATTAAAACATATTCAGTGAACTATTTTATTTTAACCTATTTATTGTGTTAGACAACGCTGCTCAAGCTTTCCACTTACACAGCCCCACACCCACACAAACACAAGCGCGCGAACGAACACCTTGATATTTTATGAATAGATTGCTCAAAATAAATCAAGATAGTATTAAAATATTTTTTTAATGAAATCTTAGTGTCAAAAAAGAACCAAAACTAAAAAAATATTTGATTGGTTCTACGATAAATTCTCTTACTTCAAAAGTTAAAAACGAATTCAAGAAAGACTACAATAAAAAATAGAGTTGCAAAAATGATCAAACCAATTATTACAAAGAAGATATTTCTAAAGAGGTTATCATTTTCAATATTTTTGTAGAACACAAAGAGTCTAGTGGCTTAAAATGATTTAAAGGAAAACTAGTTTAAAAAAAAAGATCTAAATGGTTAGACGCATCATGTAATGCTAAAAAGGAACATCTGCCATCATTATGGTAGGCATGGTAACAGTTTTAAGTTTACTTTTACTGCAGATAGGAAACACATCCGGAACTTGTGTAATGTTATTATAAATTAAAAACAGGTGGAAAATAACAATAACAAACAAAATTTAAATATTTTAGTCAATATTGCAGCCGAAGATTTTCTTTTTCTCAATCAGTCAATCAATCAATATTTTTTTGAAAGAGTTATTATACTTCATGCATATAGTACATGTACTAATCTTAAATAAAAAATATGCTGGAGTTAATAATTATATCTTTAATAGTAAGAAAAAGTACTATTTTTATAATTGAAATAATTAACAGCCGTAATAGAATTAATAATAAAAAGTTGAAGTAATAGCAATAATAACAATCATAACACAAATAATAATAAAATTAATGGCAATAAAAATGCGAAAAAAATTTTAAATTAATAATACTAGAGAGATACATACATAAACACACACACATATGCACACACACGCACACACGCACACGCACGCACACACACAATGCGTTTGCAGTGACGAATCCTGTGGGGATGGGGGTATACATCCCCCACCAGAATCTGAAATTCTTAAAATATCTTAGAAACGGAGGACTTTTTTTTAAAAAAAAAGACACAAAGGTGATAGAAAATACAAAAATATTAAATTTCTTTACCCCTTCCTCCCCCACCTCCCTCATCCCATCCACCAGCACCAATAATCCCTGGATCCGTCACTGTGCGTTTGTAAATTTTTTTAAAGACTTGTTGATAATGAGCAAGTTAGTATCATAAGCAAAGTGGTAAGCGGTTAATGCGGCAAACTTAATGAAGTTGTTAAGGTCATTTTTGTATAATGGCATTAAACTACAGGTTTTTTTGCATGAAATTAAATAAAGGAATTCTAGCACAAGCAAAAACTGATTAAAAGTTCTTGACTGGGTATATTACGATATATTATTATTATTATAATTATACAAAAGTGTTCTTGAAAAAAAAATGACAAAGAAAAAAGAACACATACAAATTTTTTATTTGCCGGTCTGTCGGTATTTCTCTATGCTACCTTTTAATACAACTACTTTTTACTTTTATTTCATTTCTGTTCTTTGTAAAACTCACTCTTGGTCCGTGGAGGCGGGTTACGATGCTCTTTAACGAGTTAAACTTGTCTTCTTGGTATGTGGTCTTGATATTAACAATTACCCAGTGGGCAATGGACCAAAAAAGACGTCTTTTAAACGTTTTAAAGACGTCTTTTTTATGTCTGTGTCTACTGCACAACCGGAAGAGAATAAGCTATAATACTACTAAAAAACTTTTCTCACAGATAACAATACTTACTTTACTTACCTACTTTGTTATTGCAGTTTACTACAATTTTTTTTTTTAATTTGGTAATATTAGTAATAAAGGAAATATAATTATAATTTGTTTTAAGATAAAAAGAGCATTTACGCTGTTTGACTCATACCATTATTAAGCTAATAACTACGAAAAATATGGAGCCATCATAACTTGTTGATGGCAAACCGGTGGTTGCGTTTTTAAATTAATGCGTTAAAATTTTAATGCGTGGAAATTTTAACCCAAAACTTCACACTTCGTTTGCAGTGTAATTACAAAATAATATTATTAAGTCAGTAAAATTTTAACGTTATAATTGTATTGTGCATCATACAAACCAAAAATTATTGGAGGGCTTCGTTTCTAAAAAGATATATTTAAAGATGAATGCAGCAAAAAAAAAATTTACTTTTTTTATTCACAAAAACAATTTTCAATAGACATATCAACTACAACATCTTGAAAATTTGTATTTTGCAACATAATTATTTTAATTGTTATTAAAAAAAGAGCATTTTAACGACCATTTGAGGAATGGGGATCATTGTTAACTCTTGTTGTTTTTTGAAAATGCTCTCTCTGCACTATAACAATTGGCAATGAGAAGGGAAAGAAAAATCTGATATGCAATGTCAACATTCATTGGAAAAACTGATTCTAATATATTCGTAAGTATTTCTTTTAAACATCCTAATGCTGATATATATCTATATATACATATATATATATATATATATATATATATATATATATATATATATATATATATATATATATATATATATATATATATATATATATATATATATATATATATATATATATATATATATATATATATATATAAATGGAAATTTCATCATGGAATTGTTTATCTAAGTCAAAGAAGAAATAGTACTCAAGAATTTGGCAGCAACAACAATAACAGGAACAGTCATGATCGGAAAACTAGTTAGAAAAGCCAAACTTTTTCAGACTCGTAAACAGAAAGCTTTTTTTTCGAGCATATTTTCAACTTGTTTATAATAATGAAAAAGTGTTTTTTAATTTAATTTCGTCACTGCTTTTTAATTGTTTTTATTAGCATGCTTATCCCCCGCAGTTATATAATTTTACGTATTAAAAAGCTGGACATTTTATACATTTTTATCCCCTTGCAATAGTGGTATGAAGGACCCAACAAACACAACTGCAATGGCATATATGTTTAAAAAGTTAAGTTCTCCTGCTGTTAATTTTTGGGGGGTTTTTAGGATCTGCAAAAAATATTTACTTTTATGTAATTAAGAAATATTTGATTATTTTCAAGTTTCCTGACGTAAACAAAAGAGGAAAAAAACCAAACTTCTAACGGTTATGTAAAAACTTAGATATTGAGAACAATATGTTGTGTTGCATTAGATATTGAGAATAATAAATGTGTTGCATAAGAGGTATTAGCAACCCATGATATTTTTTAGTGCAAAGAAATTTTTAATTTAATAAATATTTAAAATAAAATTGTAAACCAGTATAATGTTAAGTTGAGATTACTTGGTTGTGAATCAGCTAAACAACCTTTTAAAAAAAAACGTTTAAAAAATTCCGCATTAGATTGGATTGCGTTTGTTAGTCGAGTTAGAAAGATAGCATAGAGAACAGTGGACATACAATGCATTGGATATTAAAATATGCAATTTACTGAACAAGTTCAAATATAAGTATATAAATAATGATATAATAACTTGAATGTTAGGTATTGTAGTTAATTATTTACTGAATATTTGTTAATAGATTATATAATGGGTTTTTAAATATTTTTTTACAGTTTTGGTCCATTGCTCCACTATTAAAGTACACTTATCATATATAAAACATTATGAAAAAAAAAGACAAAAAAAAACAACGAAAAAACGTAAAAGAAGAGTTAAAAATCAAAAAACTTAAACGAAATGTACGTAAAAACGAAAAAAGTTCCAAATGTATTTTATTTCATTTAGGTTTATTTTAAAAAATTGAAAAAAAAAAAAATTTAGAAACATTAAAAGTGACGCAGACGTTGTTCCGGCTCTCGATAAATGCCGAAATCAATGAATTTTATAGAAATTAATCGTATTTATCTTACTTAGATTTGATATCATTATACACGAAAGATTTTGTTTAGTTATGCACTCGCAACGTTGAGTTGTATACATCAGATCATGGCCTACTTAAATAGTAAGTAGGCCATGATCAGATCAACGTTAATCCATATAAAATAAATCAATGTTGGATTATATAAACAGAATCAACGTTAGGTTTAGATCGTAAAAACAATAAAATTTTGTGATGTTTTTCATAAGCTGGACCAATGTTGGGGAGAATCAGGTAATGGCGAAAGCGGGGTAACTCTGAACAAGGTCTTTACGGCATGTTAGAAAAGAATAGTTGACAATCTATTTTTTTCTGACGAGAGTGGGTTCCATGCTCAGTTCCAGACGTGCAATAGTGTTGTATAGGTTCGCAGGTTGTTCACGATAGATTGATTCTAAGTTTTTCTCTTAGTTTCATGTAATTTTTATTTACAAAACATTTATGTATCGGCTATACTATGTATATAAAACCACACATTTATTTATGTTGTTGCAAAGTATCATAATTATGGAGTTTGTAACACGCATTATGTTTAGGGTATGATAATATTACCTCAATATATTCGTTTAATTTCATTTGGTTGGATTGCGGGGAAATAACGAACGATCTTAGTGGGGTAATCACGAATGCTTATTGTTTTGTCAAAGTATTCTAGTGTATCTGATAACACACGGACGTTTCTTAAATAAAGTTATTATACATTATTTATTTAGTTTATTATTGTAATTAAAAAAAAAGATCGGTCATTGCAGATCGGTTTATGGCTGAGCCTTAAGCGACCTGATTTTACGGTATAGGCTGACAAAGTTATTGCTTTTTTTTAACTTAATATACTTTTATTGAAAAGTCGTATGCCGTCAACACTTGTAGCCCGTGGCTACATTTCGTGGCTGTACTTATTTCCCAGTCTTTTTATGCCCAGCTATTTTCAAATAAGCCAAGCGGCTATATTATTTTTCTTAGTAAGTTGGTAATTATGGCGGATATGTTTTGAAAAAATA